CTCTTCCTGCTGGTGCACCGTGGTCCTCTCTTGCATGGTATGCTCCTTGCAAGGCAATGTATAGAACCTGCGTATAATTGTTAAGAAAATAGAAAAATGTTGGGATCTGGGATCGAACCCAGGTCCTCCACCTTTCCAAACACGCGCTTCACGACTGGGCCACCTGTTCTTGTTTGTTATAATATTGATACGAAAACAACATAATGTAAATTAGTCACAAGCTTCAAAAAACGCACGAAATTTGAATTGCCCAATGGTGGTCAGCCACGTTGTTATCTCTTTCCCCAAGTCAGTCGTTTTTGATAATAACCCTTTACCTACGGTCAAATGCGTCACTGTATGCTATAGCGACGGTATTGGTCTGTAGCTACAAACCTGCAATATCTCAATATGCACAGCAAGAAATATTAATTAGAACTAAGGACATAGACCCACTAAGGACCTTTCCCTGAGTCCATTGGTATCATTAATCAGCCCTAATTTGGCCTCTACAGAGAAACCTTAATTTGAAGCTTCCAAACCCTAATAATGGCGTAAGCTTGTTCCTGCACTATAAATCAAATCCAGGCTATTCAAAAGTTCATAAACATGATTATAAATACATTTATGCAAGTAAATTGGATAAAAAGTATGTAGAACCCTGAAACGAGTTTGAGTTCAGAGGGTGCAAACCGTGAGGATTATGTGATGAGTCCTGGAGCTTTGAGGCATGCAAACGATCGTGTTAGCTTCTGGGAAGGTCCAGGAAATAATTGGTAGCTTTGAAATTCTTTGAATTGTCCTCTAGGCTGGAAATCGATCCACCACTTCTTGACAATTTTCAGTTTTCGTTTTCAGCTCTTATGACCTGTAATCCTCATTTTCCTGGCTTGTTTGTGTCCTATATATGTATTGGAATTGGTTAGGTCAACAAAAATGCATGGTATCTTGTTGAATTAAGGAGATTTGATTTGATTTTGTTTTTGTATGATATCTTTGCAAAACAACAAAAATCATGCTATTTTTTATTCAATCAACCCTTGAACGACTTGGATATGATATTCTATCTTGATTGGATTTGATTCCTACAAAAAATCATATCAAAAATCAATCTTTTGTATTTTTTGCAATTATTTGATTTAATTTGAATTTTAAATAATAAAAAATCAAAATAAAAAAATAATGAATAAATTAAAGTGTAGATGCTGATTTGGGTCGTGGACCATGTCACAAGCAAGATTCAATCATGAAAAACTAGGCCCACTTGACAAAAAATGTATTTTTGAGCACATTTGACTTTTGGCAATTTTGCAAAAATGGTCAACTTTGACAAGGCATAGCTCCTCCAATTTTAACCCTAGAGAGGTGTTATTGGACTTTTTAGAAAGCTAAGGATGTTCCCTAAACAACCCATTTGGTCTTATCTCAATTGGTTCTTCCATGTTCATGTAAGAAGCTTTGACCAAAAAGTTGTTTTGTTTACTTTTCAAAAGGACCTATAATGTAGAAATTCATATCTTCTGATGAGTGCATATTTTGAACTTGTAGGATGAATATGAATTGTATGGAATTGCATGCTATTAAAAATGAGATTTGGATGGAAAATTTCTGATAATGTATGAAGAATTTATGCTTGGTCAAAGTTTGGTTGACTTTTCCTAAAAAACCCTAATTTAGCAACTTTTGGGTTTTAATGAATTTGGAGCATTCCTTGAGGAATCATGATCAACCCTTGATAAAATGACGAATATCACTTCAAAATGTTGGTGTTGACCAAAAATCTTGAAGTTTGACTGTATGTGGGCCATAGTTGACTTTTGACCTAGTATAGTTGTTTTTAAAGCATCTGGGCAATTGACTGAGCTAACTTCTTGTGCAAGGCATGAAACTTGATATGGATGATCTTGAGAACATATTAGGACCATGGAAAGACTTTTGGACCTTTGGACTTCAACCATCCTGATGAAAATGGAAACCCTAATTTTAGGTACATTGCCTTAGGTAGAGAGCTTGTCTCGTCAACTCTTGGGCATCCTTGAGCAAGTTAAGGACCTTAATGGGCATGTGTTTAGTAAAATGAGAGGGAAAATTTTGGGGTACAACAACTTCCCCTATTCAATCTTCTTAAACCTGAGGATGTAGATTGGATGTCTGCCTTTCGTAATCTGAAGGTAGAAGATGATTGAACACTAGAGTGTCCAGAAATTTGCACTCATCTGAGATGGTGCTGGTCTGTGTAGGTACTATCGGTAATGGGCTTACGAATTACATTTGAAGGAGACGATGGAAGGTAACCGGATATGGGCTTAAAGATGCCATTCGGAAGATATGACAGAGAATCGTCGGAGATGGGCTTAAAGATGCCATCTAGAGGATATCGATTTCCTAAGATACTCCTTTGATGAGAATCCCTGTTCTTGTCGTTAAGGATGAATCTGCTGAGGAATGTTGGTCTCTGTCTTAGTTGAAATAGATTTTTAGGAGCTTCAGTTGTCTGTTACTGTACTGAGGAATCATCTCTTAGTCGAGGAGGTGAAAGTGAACGGCTATCTGGTCGGGCTCTAGGCTTTACAGTGTTTGGTTGAGGATATTTGGTCATGCTCTAGGTTTCACAGTGACTTATTGGGGAGATGAGATTAAACTTGCTATATGGTCGTGCTCCAGGCTTTGGAATTTCTCAATTCTTATCTGGTCGTGTTCCAGGCTTCAGAAGGAATTAAGTGTTTATCCAGTCGCTTCCGGGTTTCAGCTTGAATTTAAGGCATACTAATATCCGGTTGATTTTCGGGCTTCCTAGTAATTGGCCGAGTAAACTGCTATTTTGTTGAATTCCAAGCTTCGCAAAACCTCATACTGTTATCTGGTCGTGCTCCAGGTTTCACAGTGTCTTTTGTCGCTATCTGGTCGTGCGCAGGCTTCACAGCGTATTATACCGTTATTTGGTCGTGCACTAGGCTTCACGGTGTTTGATACCCTTATATGGTCGATTCTAGGCTTTATAATATTTTGGAGAAATCAAGATATTATTCTGTCGATTTTCGGGTGATAACACACAAATATATGATATTTTTGGCTTGATATACATAAATTATTTCTCTTATTTTATTTTAAATTATATTATTTTATATGTATTGCGCGGGTGTTCATCTATTTTTGCAGATAAATATTAAGTTAGACACTTTGGAAGAAATGAAGAAAAAAGGGTGCAAAGATAGCAAAAGGGCCAAAGAAGAATTGAAGAAACTAGCTTAAGCCCATTACAAGGCGTGTGAGCACGTGGCCCACGATAGCAAAGACCTTGATGATCGTGAAGGTACGCTGCCGTTCGTCACGGGCGTAATGGACCAAGTGACCATCGTCACTTGGGCTTGACGAATGACACAAGCCCATTTTCTTCTTCTTTGACCACGTACTACCAAATCCAACGGAAGAAAACTAATTCAAACGCAAATCCAACGGCCATCCTACTTCTCCGATCCACTCAGTCATTGCATGGAAACGTAACCGTCTCAGTAGTCCTATTATTTCTCAAAGGAACATAAAGTGTTCCTACATTTTCGAGAACCAACATATCACACAGAGGGCTATAAATAGGACCCTGGTAACAACAAACCAGGGTCAGACTTTTGATATATTTTTGAGAATTCATTTTTTCTAAGGCAATTTTCTTTAAGCATTATTCTTTTTCCTACAAATTTTATACTTCCTCTTGCATTTATTTTTAGGTACGATTGTCTCTGTTCCCGACCGAAGCAAAGCCTACAGTTTGTGCAGGAGTGCTTCTAGTCAAGAATTAGAAGTGATTATACCCGTATCCAGAATTATTACCAGGTTTATTTTTATGATTTGTTATTACTTTTAATTAATATAATCATGTTTATTTTATTTTGTCTCTGGAATTGTTCTGTGATTTGGTCTGATATTATGTTAAGCTAGAATTCGTATACCAGTATGTAAGGTCACATAACCAAAGGATCGAGTGACTCAATTGGGGTAATTTTTACTACAAATCCTTTTTCTGGTCTAAGTTACTATTTTTATTCGATAAATTGTTTTGTTACGAAAGTAAAGAACGGATAGAAGTTAGGGTCAACAAAGCGGAAGTTTGAGATCTTTCAACTGGACAGTAGTAATTAGGCATTGGCTTAAAATACAACGGAAGCACTTTGAAGTTAATTAAGATTTTATTTCATTTTCAAAAGGTGTTTTTAACTCTTGCGGGATGGAGGAAGCGTACGTTAGGACTTAACTGCGTAGCCTAGATCAATAAAACGACAGTGTGAGATGAGGGCTTTTAAACTAAATAGGTTTTACTGTAAGTTGTTTTGAAAATATAAAGACACCCGAGTAGTTGCTAGCTCCTGAGGTTCGACTATTACATACTAGTAGTTCTGCTTATTGATAATTAAAATTAAACTTAATTTAGTATTTAGTTTCCCTACAACCCAATCAAACATTAATTAGCTTTAGATTTGCAAAGTAACAATATAAGACGGTAGTTCGATTCATCAGTCTCTGTGGTTCGATATCTTTTCACTACAAGAAAATTAGTGTTTAACGACACAAAAATTGCGACAGTTATGTGATAACTGTCGTAATTGACATATAGAGACAGTGTTTACGCCAGTTGACACCAACCGTCCCTAAAATTTATTTTGCGACGGTATATTTAACCATCATAATATTATTATTACGACGGTAAAACAACCGTCGGCCCCCATTTAACACTTTTAACATTGATTTTTCACCAACAATTAGTCACGACGGTAAAATTAACCGTCCTAAAAGGCATATCACGACGGTAAAGCACCCGTCGCACCCTTAAACCTTTCACGACGGTAAAATTATCCGTCCTAAAATTCATTTCACGACGGTAAAACAACCGTCGCACCCAAAACCTTAAAAATCTCTTGCTAACTTATATATTTTATCTAATTATAATTGTTATGTATATTTAAGTTCTCTCTTGTTAAGGTTAAGTTTATGCATTATTATATATTCTATGAAGTTGATACATTCTAATGTCCTCCTGCGTCACTATTCTTCGAACATCTCTCATCTTCCAACTTCGAACATCTCTCATCTTCCAACCGGTAAGTTTTCTATAACACTTTTTCTTTGTTCTCATCTTCACATATCTCTCTCATTCTTTAACATTGATTTCACCATTGGAGATTCACATGAATCTTAGGGTTGAGCTCTTTGTGATTCAAACATCACAACAAGCATTCATATCGACATTAAACCCAATCACCAACAATAAACCCTAAAACCCCAATTTATTCACGATTCAATGAGCAATACAAGTTACAAGCATGGTGGGTTTATTTATTATGTCAATGTTGTTAGTACCATTACTTACCTGAAGCTAATTTTAGCAATTCTAATTCATCCAGGTGCTTTTTGTTTCACCCGAGCGGTTTTTGAATAAGGAGTTTCTGTCTGCTATCTCTGCTGGGTCAGCTGTCTCACTCGTTGTTATTGACGAAGCACATTGTATATCTGAATGGTGAGGGATTTCAGTGCCGCATTGTCTAAGCAAATTCTTCCAAATCATGTTGTTAATTTGGAGATCTCACTTTGTATGCATCTACTTCCATGTTGATATTTAGATTTTGAGATTTTTTTACAGGTCTCACAATTTCCGACCTTCATTCATGAGACTTAGAGCATCACTACTTCATAGAAGTCTTAATGTAGGTTCTGTTCTCGCAATGACAGCAACTGCTACAACCACAACCTTAGATGCCATCATGTCTGCCCTAGATATTCCTTTTACAAATCTTATTCAGAATGCACACTTAAGGGACAATTTGCGTTTGTCGGCGTCTTTGATAAAAAATAGGCAAGTCAGATGCTTCTATTTTACCGCTTCTGACTGTACTCCCTTTAACTTTCCTTCTCTGATTTTGTTAAACGTATGCATCAATGATAGAATGAAAGACCTACTGGTTCTGATAAAGTCTCCTCCTTTTGCGGATGTTAAAGGCATCATAGTATACTGCAAATTTCAGGTGTGTATATGGACTTCATTTTCCAAATTTTCTGGTACTTGATTTCAGAGTTATGTTGTTTTATATAGTCATCTGCATTATACAACAACAACAACCACAGTATTTGAAATGTACAACCTTGTTTGCAAAGTAAAAGTTATTAAGTTCTTTATGTTTCAGGTTTAGTATGTGTCTAATTACTTAAGTTTGCAAGTAATGTTATTTTGCAGTGGATATCATATTATCATATATATTTATATATGCGATAATTGATTTTTTTTTTATTCAGTCTGAAACTGATCAAATTAGCAGATACTTGAATGATAACAATATCTCGGCAAAGGTAAGCTCCACATTTCACTTTTTGACATTGCATGGCATTCTGTGTAAGTGTAACCCACGTCACTGTATGTGAAATCTGACAATTGATTTGAATCATCATTTAGAGTTATCATAGTGGTATTTTTGCAAAGGAACGTGGCAACGTACAGGAGTTGTTTGCTTCAAACAAGATCAGAGTGGTTAGATTTATTTTATTGTTTTAATCACTCAATTTATCAATTTTATGGTGCAATGCTTCTAATACAACATTGCTAGTCCAACTCATACCTTGCAATTTTTTTTATGAAGGTTGTTGCAACTGTGGCATTTGGTATGGGACTAGATAAAAGAGATGTTGGAGCAGTAAGTCTTATATTATATTTTATTTTTGCATTAGTTTGCATGATGACCCACTTTTCTCATTGTGCTCTTGTTGCAAGGTGACCCGCTTTCTCTGTGTCTATGTTTTAGACCTTTGTTATCTAGCTGTATCAGAAACAATCGAGTTTTTTCTCAAAAGTTATTTATTGTTAGAAATTTCAAATTGCAAAATGGGGGTAAATGGTAATGGAGAACTGAGCTCTTTACTTCGTCTCTGTTAATGCAAATGTTCTGATAGCCACATTTTACGTAAGGCTGTTTTTCTTAGAACCACTCTGCAATCTGTAGACACTTTTATCTTTGTTTTTCACACTACCTCATTTGCTTTGAAATGTGAATGGTCTTGTGTGTTACAATAATTCTTATTGAAACTCCATTGTCATAACTATGTTTAGGTAATTCATTACAGTTTACCTGGAAGTCTGGAAGAGTATGTACAGGTATATGATGTCTTCTAAATTCTAAATTCTGATAAATAGTTTTGCATAGATTGATTAAGGGAGCAGAGAAATGATTTGAGTTGGAATTCAAACTTGAGCAGTAAACCTGAATGACAGGTCTGTGTTAACAAGGTTATAGGTTCTGAGTGTTCATAATCTTGTGACTGAGTGTTTAATTCCATTTGATCTTTGTCACTGAGTGTTTATAATCTTGCTGGGTATATCCCTACTTTGTGAGGTAAGTGAATTATTTAGTTAGGTGTCCAATGAGTTCAGTTTAGTTCCTCTATTTGTTTTGAAGTTTTTCTGTTGAATAGTTTATGTATAGGTTGCTATCTATTAGTTGATTGTTAATTAAAAATGTCAAATCAAGTCTTTGGCATGGCAAAGTCATGTGTATTCGAAGGCATGGATAAGTTATATCTAATTACAGTGTAACGACTAGCTTACTACATTGTCATAGTGTATTATAGATAGGAATATGATGTCTCTTGATTACTATTCACTAGAAACGCCTTTGTGAACCTTTTTTGTTGTTGGAGAGAACAGAACATACACGATCTTATAGGAATATGTTGGAGCCACCGAACTCAGCACTGCTACGTCGCTTCTTCAACAGCTTTTTGTCGAATTTCAGCTTAAATGGCTGGCAGAGGATATGGACGAGGACGAGGATGCGGCGAATTTCAAAATTATGCACGACCAGAGCCATTTGTACTTTTTCCCGAGGTAACATATTGTGCATCTTTTCCGAGTATGTATTTCTATTCACACTTCGTAATTAACTCTTTGCTGCTTAATGCTCGTCTTTAACAATCTGATGTTACAGGATATTAATTTGCCTGATGCAAAACTCGGCGAAAATGTTGCTAGTATGAAACATTTGATTAAATGGGATTTGAGTTTTGATAGTTATTTTAAAGCGGCTCCTTATCTCTTGGACGACACCGAATCAAAAGGTTCGAATTCAATTGCCTTTACATGATACATATTGGCAGATTGTCATTACAAAATCTGAGATTTCCAATACATATTGTTTCATTGTCAGGGCGCAAAAGGATGCACGTAGAAAGATTTTCTGACAAGAAGAAGATCGCGTTCACTCGTGATTCGCTGTCTCAGGTTTTATATTACGACGAATTTGTTAAGGAGTTGGTTCCAGGTGTGAATAATGGGATAGGCTTTTAAGGCAGTGGTTGTGTTTTTATTTTATTGTAGAAAAATGCTTCTACTTTTCGTTATGCATTTGCGGTTCCTGGTAACAAGTAATTTAGTCCGAAAGTTGATTTCAGGTAAATCTAAGCAGATGCTGAGCCGGAAAAAGTTTCGATGGAACCCTGAAGCTGGTGATTTCTTATGAACCTTTTCTTTTTATTTTATCAATCTATTAATTATCTGTAAATGTTAGTCTAGTTATGATATGAATCTCTGTTTTACTCATAATAATGATGAAGCCTTGTTATTTTTACTTTATACTGATTAAGATATTTGTGTGGCAGATGCGAAAAAACTGGCATTCTTTGAAGAACTAGAGAAAAAGTTCCTGGTAGAGAACCTATGCCTACAATTCTTTCCTTTATTTTTTCTTGTTAACAAGGCAGGGTTAACTCATTAGTTTTAGAAGGAAATATTTTCTTGTTTGATTTACATTGTTGGCTTACCTACATTTTATCTAGTGAAATTCTATGTTGACGATTCTTCACATTTAGGCGGAAGAGGGTAAAGATAAAAAGAAGAAAAAAGAAGAAAGTGAAGATGCGACATTTTGTGATAAAACTTGAGCGACATTGTTAGATGCGGTTCATAATATAGTCGGACGCGTGGTTTTAAATCTCACTGCAATTGCAGTCCAATACGGTTGTGGAAGCTACAGCATTAGCAATATTACAGCTGCAATTGCGTTGCGGACCGCAATTTATAACCATGGTCAGTATTATGATAAGAACATGATTGAAGCTTGAAACTGTGTTTTAGGACACCGAAAAATGGCTATAATATTGGCTGCATCTTCTGCTGTCTTGGCTCTTCTTTTGGTTACTGCAACAATGGGTTTCTTTATAGGAAAGAATGTAATGAGGAAAAGAAGAGGTACACATGTTTAATATTTAAAGACTGGAATTACTTTTTTCCAAAATACTTGTGCTAGAAGTTATTGCTATGTGTGTGTGTTTTTTTACTAGAGAGAAAACAATTTGGGACACTTTTGGATACAGTGAATAAATCCAAGCTAAATGTTCCATATGAAATTCTTGAAAAAGCAACAAATTACTTCAATGATGACAATAAGCTAGGACAAGGAGGATCAGGTTCAGTTTATAAAGTATATTCTGATCTTATCTTATTGTAACTTCTTACAACCTTATTGTTGTTAAGTGCTTATAGATTTTTCCTTTCATTTTAGGGAGTTATGCCAGATGGTAATACTGTGGCTGTTAAAAGGCTTAGTTTTAACTCGACGCAATGGGTGGATCATTTCTTCAATGAGGTTAATTTGATTAGTGGAGTTCATCACAAAAATGATGAGAGAAGAAAGAATACTTACACGTCGGAGTCACTCCGCCAACGCTTCAATCGTGATTCAGGTATGCATTCTTAATTCCTCATTCTTCTATTATTTCCGATTCACACGTATTTTCTATTGATTCGGTACAATTCAATTATTGAAGTTTGTTGTTGTGATTGGTGTTGAAATAGAGGGAATGCTTCAAGCTTGAAGTCGCGATGATGCCATTGATGATGAAGGTTGACGAAGCTGTGTAGAATATTGTAGAGAGGTTGTGTATAGTTGGCTATTAGGATGGGATGGCTTTAGATTTGAATGAAACTGAGAGTTAGTTGCTGATTGTAATTTGAGTTAGCTAATTGTTAGTGTGAAAAAGAGTTAAAATCGTCAATATTATTAGGGCCTGACTGTTAGGAATATCAATTGAAATGGATAACTGTTAGCTTAAAGTTGTTAGAAATTGTTATGTGAGGGATTAGGTTTGTGAAGTGGATATTTAAATTGACTTGAATCTATGTGATTGACTGAATCTATGTAATTTTGTAGAATATTGTAACATTTTTTGTAATTCTCTCAAGTTGTAGCAAACCAATGTAAATATTAAAATGAAATTTGGCCTTTGATGATATTTGAATTTTTCTTGTTTATTGGTAAAATTTGCACTTCTTTTTACCTTTGATCACATTTTTTTGATATTATTGATGATTATTTGATATTAAATGTTTTTATTGTAATTAACTTTATTATGTTGAAAAGTGATAGAAAATAAAATAAAAATACTATAAATAAAAAAATATTAAAGTAAATAATAATTTAAATATAATAGTAAAATATTATAGTAAAATAATATTATATTTAAAATTATTTTACTAAATAATAATTTAAATAAAAATATTATTTGAAATTTATAAATCAGATTACGACGGTTAAAACCGCCGCAATTTCTAACCTACGGCGGTAGAGTAACCGTCGCAAACAACAACAAAAACAAAAAATAAAGTCAAATTCACGACGGTATATAACCGTCGCTATCTTTTGTGCGTGACAGTTTTTGCAACCGTCGCGAAATAGGCTGGGGACGCACGATTCTGCGACGGTACTTCTACCGTCGTAGATTGTAAATTGCGACGGTTTTAACCGTCGTAATCAGCCAAAATAACCGTCCCAATCTATCATTTTTCTTGTAGTGTTTAAAACTACATGACAAGACTGTGCACTTGCAGTCTGAATCATTAGATAACTCAGTGTAATCCGATCAAGTTTTTGGCACCGTTGACGGGGACTCATTTATGTCGATATCACTATTGTTTTGTTACGCAGTAGAGACTAGAGCAAAACCTCTCTATTTCTTTTCTTTTTCTTTTCTTATTTGTATTCCAAACACTCGTTCGCAAGGGGAGCCGTTATACATACAAATCAATGATATCGAGAGGTATCTTAGACTTAGACGCTGCATTCAAGAGTATCATCTCCTGCATAATAATCCACATCATTAATCACTCGAATCTCCTATTCCTCAACCAACCGAAGAAATGGCCGCACAACCTGCTTCACGCCCGCTCAAATCCTATGCTATTCCCTCGCAAGATGAACCGCATAATAGCATTGCTGCTCTTCCAATTGAGGCTAACAACTTTGAACTGAAACCTTCTTTGTTGTCTCCTGTACAACAGAACCAATTTTCTGGGGGGTCAATGGAAGACCCCAATCTTCATCTATCAATATTTCTACAGTATGCATATACGATTAGGAACAATGGGATCAATCAAGAGGCAATAAGACTTCCTATTTTCCATTTTTCTCTAATGGACAGAGCCCGAGCTTGGCTCTAATCTCTACCCGCAAGCTCTGTTACAACATGGGATGAGCTGAAGAAAGATTTTCTTGCAAGGTATTTCCCGCCAAGCAAAAGAATTATGCTAAGATCTCAAATAAGTGATTTTAGACAAAAGGATAACGAGTCCCTTTTTGATGCTTGGGAACGATACAAGGATCTGATGAGACTATGCCCACATCATGGCTTGGAAGAATGGTTAATTATCCATACCTTCTATAATGGTCTCCTTTACAATACAAGATTAACGATAGACGATGCCGCAGGAGGTGCACTTATGGATTAATCTTACACTGCTGCTTATGCTCTCAAAGAAAGTAAGGCCCAAAACCACTATCAGTGGGGAAGTGAAAGGGGACAAGTAAACAAAGGTACCACAGAGAAAACACCGAATAAAGGAGGCATGTACAAGATAAGCGATCTAGACAGTGTCCATGCTAAGGTAGACGTCGTCACCCTTAAGATAGATAATTTTACCACAATACCTCCAGCCACCATGGCTGCTATAACTCCAAATTGCGAGATATGCAGAGTGCCTGCACATGCAATTACCGAATGTAAGATCTTGGCAGGAACTCCAACCGACCAAGTGAGTTATGCTCAAGGAAACCCTTACTCGAACACATACAACCCTGGATGGAAGAATCATCCAAATTTCTCGTATAAAAACCCCAATGCATTGTATGCTCCAAACCAAACACCTGTTGTGCCACCCGGATATCAGAAACCTCCTGCAAACGCTCCTAATGTACCTAGAAAATCAAGCTTAGAATTGATGATGGAAAACTTCATAGCTCCCCAAGCGCAAACAAAAAAAGATGCCCAAAATCAAAACATACACACTAACGAGCAGATAAAACAATTAGAAAATAAAATAGATGCTTTGGCCACCCACAATAAAATGTTAGAAACCCAAATCTCTCAAGTGGCTCATCAATAAGCACCTACAGCTGTACCGGCTGATACATTTCCTGGTCAACCACAACCTAACCCAAAGGGGCATGCTCATGCCATCATATTAAGAAGTGGAACTGAGTTAGATGGACCCAGTGACCCAAGACTTTCAAATCCAGGTATGTACCAAAGATCCGAAATACCGGCTGAGAAGGAGAATCAACCCGAGAAACCAGAGGAGGATAAAGAAGATAAAGGAGGAGAGGCCGAAGAAAAATAAATACCTTATGTGCCTATACCGCCTTATAAACCCCAAATCTCATTTCCTGGAAGACTAGCTAAACCTAAGAACGTAGGGAAATTTAAAAAATTTGTAGACCTTTTGAAACAACTTAATATAACAATTCCTTTCACAGAAGCCATAACTCAAATGCCCTCCTATGCCAATTTACTCAAGGAAATCTTATCTAACAAGAAAAAGCTAGAAGATAATGAAACAGTCACACTTACGGCAGAGTGTAGTGCAATTATCCAAAACAAGATGCCTCATAAGCTGAAAGATCCTGGTAGCTTCTCTATACCATGTCATATAGGAAAGTTTGTGATAGACAAAGCCCTGTGTGATTTAGGAGCTAGTATTAGCGTTATGCCTTTGTCCATATGTAACAGACTTGAAATCGGAGAACTAAGACCAAAAAAGATGTTCGTTTAATTAGAAGATCGCTCTGTTAAATACCCAGTAGGAATCTTAGAAAACGTTCTCGTACGAATAGGTCAGATACACATCTCTACAGATTTCATAATCATGGACATTAGAGAAGATGAAAGTACACCTATCATTTTAGGAAGACGATTCTTACCTACCGCTGGAGCCATCATAGATGTAAAAAAGGGAAAACTAACTTTTGAAGTAGGTGAAGAGAAAGTCAAATTTATTCTGACACAATTTTTACAAGTGCCTTCCATAGACGACACATGTTACCTTGTAGACATCATGGACGAATGTGTGAGGGAAATTGAATGGGAACCGATACCTTATTCTGAAACCATGAAGATTCCCACACCTCTTATACTCGAAGACAACGAATGGTGTCCCAAATACCGAGACGACAATCTAAGCCAATGCTTAGCTCTAACACCTGACCACATGCCTTGTCCAAGAAAACCAGTCTTGGATCTTAAGCCATTACCTAACACCCTTATATATGAATTCCTCGACACCGAGCTTAAACGAATTGTAATTGTCAATGCAGACTTAGGACAACAAGAAATAGACAAATTATTACAAGTCTTAAGAAAATACCCATCTGCCTTAGTATATAACATTACGGATCTCAAAGGAATAATTCCTTCTATTTGCATGCATTGTATTATGCTGGAAAATGACTGCAAATCTTCTAGAGAACATCAACGAAGAATTAACCCAATATGGAGTACCGTAGTTAAAGATGAAGTAAAAAAACTTCTGAACGCAGGAATCATATACCCAATCTATGATAGTCAATGGGTAAGCCATGTCCACTGTTTACCAAATAAAGGAGGTATAACAGTCACGACAAACAAAGCAGGCGAAGCTGTAGCGAAACAAACTGTAAGCGGAGCTAGAATGTGCATTGACTATAGGAAGCTAAACAAAGCCACTTGTAAAGACCATTGTCCTCTACCGTTCATCGATCAAATGCTTGAGCGATTGGCTAAGCACTCTCATTACTGTTATCTAGACGGTTACTCATAATTTTTCCAAATTCCTATTCACCCCGATGACCAAGAGAAAACAACATTCACGTGTCCTTATGGAACTTTCACCTACAGATGAATGTCGTTTGAATAATGTAACGCTCCCGCCACATTTCAGAGATGCATGATGGCAATCTTTGCTGACTTCATAGACAATATGATGAAGGTCTTTATGGACGACTTCTATGTATGTGGAGAGAGTTTTGAAGATTGTCTAAGAAATTTAGAGAATGTTTTGGAGAGATTCGTAAAATTGAATCTCGTTCTGAATTGGGAAAAATGCCACTTTATGGTCAAACAAGGAATTGTGCTAGGACACGTTGTGTATGAGAAGGGGATTGAAGTTGATAAAGCAAAGATCGAAGTCATAGAAAACATACAACCCCCTAAAATAGTAAGAGAAATACGCAGTTTCTTAGGACACGTTGGTTTCTACTGACGATTCATAAAAGATTTCTCGCAAATTTCCAAACCTCTAACTACCCTCCTTATGAAAGACGTTGAATTCTATTTCGATGACAAATTCCTAAGGGAATTTAACCAATTAAAAACAACTCTTATATCCGCACCAATCATGCAACCACCAAATTGGAGACTACCATTTGAAATCATGTGCGACACAAGTGATTACGCCGTCGGTGCAGTCTTTGGACAAAGAAGAGATAAGAAGCTTCATGCGATATACTATGCAAGTAGAACCCTGGACCCTGCAAAAATGAATTACACGACCACAGAAAAAGAAATTT